CTCTGTGAAGACCATGCTGTGTGATAGCGCCTGACATGTGTTATCATAAGGCACATGCACCAACAACACCTCTGCTTCCCTCAAGTACTAGGTATGTGCCAAAAAGGTCTAGTCTCGCGGTTGCTCTAGCTGCACCCTTTCAGATTCACTCTCACCACGGAATTAACTCAGTGCATTGACGGACTTTTTTCTCTCAATGGGACTCGATGTTGTTCAGTTTGAACTGTTTGTGAACCAATGCATAGGGAAGTTCAAAACTCCCTCTCCATTGACTCTTCCTCATAAAGCAAAGTAATCATCACACATGTAAAAGCAGAAAGGTATGGTTAAATCGTCTGGGTCTGCTTAGTCTGGCTAACATTTTAACCTAAATTTAAAAAAAAAAAATAGTATAATGTTTATCATTTCCATCATATTGCTGCTGTTGCTTAAAGTGATTGTCTGGAGTTTGTCGGAAAGAGAGACAGAGGTACTTGATTTGAAAAAAACGACGCAAGCTCCCTCCCCCTTCCTTTATGATTGGTCTACGCCTAAATTTCCATGACACTTTTAAATGTTAATCAGAGAACACATTATACGTATACATTAGTAATACACTAATCATAATTATTTGTTAACGTTTTAATGAAAAACCCGGAACAAGCTATTATCATGAATTGCACATTATAGGACACATCTGCAGAGGATCTGATTATGGATATAGGTTCAGTATATACATAAGTACCTCAGCGCGGATGTTCAGAATTCTTTGTTCAGTTTTCATGAAGTTGCCCTTGGCATGACTCGATTGGTTAACCTCGACGGCACCGTGGATTCTGAGCTATAGCTAAGAGAAAGGAAGGTGGGACTTGCCCGTGATATTAGAATTAATAAAATGACTTATTTTATATCAACATTTAAGGCCAGGAGGTCAATTTAACACATTTCCTAAAATTTGTAATTCATTTAGAGTTACAGACTATCACTTTGATTAAATATTCTTGACATTATCCAAATGCACCCAAACGCTTGCCCAAAGTTTGATTCTTTACAAACATAATATTTTAATATTCATGTTTTTTATAAAATGTTCTCTGTTTTTATCGTATTAGCTATGGATCATGTGTCTGCAAATGTGTCCTTATTAAAGTCTAAATAAAAAAGGGAAGATAAAATGGCTGCAAGCAGAGATGAATGGCCCTTTGCCAAACTGTGTACAGTGAAAAGGGGGCGCTAACACGGCCTCATTCCTTCTGTGTGTATTTCACTCCATACTGCTTCTGAGGCGTTAAAGCACCCCTTTTTTTACTTTTCACTTATTATGGCAACTTAAATGTGTAATGTTTCAACTTTTGCAAATTCAGCACGGTTACACAAAAAGGGAGTAGGCTGAAGTCTGTGATCTGGGTTGCCAGAACTCACCGCATCGAGCCATAGAAATAAAAAAGGTTTTGTTATGATTCTCAAATCATTAATAAGAAAACAAGGCATAAAACAAGGATTTCTATTGAGGCCTTTGTGAAAAAGGTGTTTGGTTAAAGACTTGTTGTTGACAAAACTCTTGTCTATTCAGATTTTATGGTCCCAGCGGGATTTGTCTGCATATCTGGCAACCTGAGTCAGGGAGAGTGGGAGAGGTTACACACTGCTCCTTTAAGTCCCGCAGTTCGCGGTGATGGAAGTGATGCAGGCAGTCCACACAGAGTTGACTTAAAGCTGGATTACCTCACTTTAGTTTTTGTATTCATTAGAAAAATTCAATCCATATCCATGCAGTGCATTGGGATATATGTCCTGGTTTGTACTGGAGTGTAATTTTATTTTAGATTAAATTTTCGGGCAAAGCGGAAGATAATTTATTTTGGGACCAGATTGTGACCAATCACAGCGGACCACTTGAGAAATTCTAGGTCTCTCGTTAGTACAAACAGCTGAGGTAAGTGAGTATCATGGTGGAGGCATACCTGAAACTTCCCATGTATTTGTTACCGGTTACTGCTTATACAGCAAATCAGCCATCCAAAAGAAAGTCCCTACAAGAACAGAGACAACCAAGAGCAGCAAAGTGGTCACGGGGACATGTGCGGGTCCAAAACAGGAAAACAAAGACTAACACTCAAAAACAGCCAAAACAGGAACTAAACCAGGATTAAACCAGGACTAAGGATGGGGGACACAGTGCTTGTGAACATACTGTATGTCTTCACCTTGAGTTGACATTCTACCAAGTGCTGCTAACGTGATTGCTGCCCTACGTTTTTACCCAAAGCAGGGCAGGACGTCAGATTGACTAAATTTTATCTGATACAAAGTAAACATTTGTTCTCGCCTCCATCCACATGTGTCCATGCTTCGGCAGTTTGAACACAGCTACACAGGAAAGATTGAACCATAGACTGTAAATATTAACGGACATATGCCGCTTTTGCACAGTAACGGTACGGTACGGCGCGGTTATTTTGCATTTCCACAAGGGTTGGACTTGGTAATGGGGGTACTTTTTCGTACCACCTCGGCTGTGGTTCCATCCGCGCCAAAGCTACACCATGACGTGACATCAGCCGACTGTCTTACACTGATTGGTCAGCGAGTCTCGTCACTGGAAGCAACGTCCGACCCTTTGGTAAAAACAACTCAACACCGCCATCTTTAAAACCGGCTGCTCTGCCATGGATCAATAATAGGCTGTATACGTACTCCTCACTCCAGGGAAATGGAATTGCACAGAAAGCCACAAAAGGCCCTGGTCGGTCGATGAGGTCCACATGTTACTCCCTTTAAGCAGAAAGAAATAATTCAAAGGCAGCTCGACGGAACACGGCACACGGAACGAGGTTTTTTAGGGCGATCGTCCAGCTCTTGATTTGTGACCAGTCTGTGGTAATCCTGGAAATAACTGGTTAGCTACGTATCCCGTTGGCCCAAAGCTTTCTCTGAAATGTATTTACTCGTGTAAAAGTTTGATTGTCTGTTGAACACAGTGAGCTAGCTACATTTAGCTATCGATAGCAAGCTAAGCTAGAGTGTCCTGATACTGTGCTGTATTTTGCTCTTTCACGTGTTGCCATTCTGTTTTGTGCTTGTATTTAAGTTGTTGTGTGTATATTTATTTGTTTGAGAATCCCTTCCCACAAGAGAGTAGATTACCAACGAGCAATGAGTGACCAGAGTACTTCACTTTCCCCTCATCCGGACCTGGTCTCAACAGACACACGTACTTTGGACTTTGTAAACTTTTGGTTTTGCACTTCACTTTTGTTTTTAATAAATCTGTGATTGTATGAGGACTTTGCTTTATTCATTTGTCTGTACACATGGAGAAAAGGGGTTCAAAAGCAAAAATTATGATATCCTACCACATACTTTTACTTCTATTTACATTACATACATTATATTTGTCAGTAAATCCGTATAACCTTGGAAAATGTATGAACGAGGATGGAAGCATTTGCTAAATACAAAAGTTGTATTTTTGGTAAAAACAAGGGCAAAATATATGTTTAGGCATATGACAAAGTTAGGCATCAGACCCTCCGCTGCACCACTGCTACCACAAGCTGCTGTTGCTACAGGTGTGTGACATTCTGTCACAGGTCTCTCCGTGGTTTTCACACAGATTGTACAGAGCACAGCAGCTCAGCACTATTGACTCCATATGATCTGTGTCCGAGACATTCCTTTAAGACTACGGAAGCATTTTCAACAACCGGTGCTGAATATTCTATTAAATAATTGCTGTTCGTCTGTCACTCGACCGGTGTCCTGAAAAGGTTTTAGGGGCCAGTTCTGCAGGGGGTAAGCAGAGTCCCCTAGGAGGTAGTAACCTCCTAGCTATCACCGATATTATAATAAATCCATGCACCGCACCAATGTTACTGGTTACACGCACGTAAATGACGTGGTCTGACAATCCGTCCCACACTGAAGAGGTACTATTTTTAATGGAAAAGCACCCGCACACAGCCGTGCTGCGCGGTGCCCTACCGTACCGAAGCCCGTTACTGTGGAAAAGCGGCAATTGTCACACTTATCTCCGCCGTTGAAACTAATGTGCCTTGGCTTCTATGGGTAGTTTAAAAATGGCTGCGGGGATGGAAAATGTGAAAAAAAAAACAGGGAAAGGCTCACGTGCGTATACGTCAGTTGCATAAGCCCCATTCATTTGACAAGTGCGTTCAAAGTGTCACAGCGCCTGAACTAGACTTGTCAAATTGTATTTATAAAGCTCTTTTCATTCCAAAAAATGCAACACAAAGTGCTTTACATTTTAGTTTAAAACAATACAATATCCCCAGCCCTAAACCCTACCGCTTTACATACCCGCCCATAAACCACATTTATTATTATATATACACCCACAATTTTTTTTCCAAAAAATTCACTCCCCTCAGCATTGACCATTGACACACATCTGGAATGTGGCGTTGGGCCAAGAGCCAACTTTTGGACCATCCTGTAAACCCTTTTTTCGAGAGGCAAGAAGATATCATACATTAGCATTGAATAATTCTTATTCCGGGTCCACCCCCATCGCCCGGTGTGGTATTACAAGCATGTCAGCGCACGTTATTTTGGACATTTTTGAGCCGGGACCCACTCCCGCTGGATTGAACACACAACCTTCTTGCTGGGTGGTACTATATATACTCAGCCACTGTGCTGTTACCGAATGGGAAGCATTTACTGAAAAAAAGATGACAATGTTTTCCTCTTTTCTTGTTTTGCAACCCCTTCTAACGTTCGAATTGATCACGCTGGCCTTTTTTGCACTGCCGGAAGTACAATGAAACTGGTGGTTTTATTTTGAAGGTTTTGGCGGAAATGTGCCGATCATTCGGAGAGCAGAGGGGACTTCTCGACTGAGCTCGCAGCGGCTCAGAGGCTGTTTCCCCCGGACACCTCCACACTGCACCAGCCTCATGCCGCCGGGCCTTGTCTGCTGTGCTCCAGTGCTGCCCACAGCATTGTGACATCTCATCTTTGCAGATTTGGCCCTTCCTTAAGGGAAGAGCAGTGGTGTCATGGAGTTGTACTGCCTGGAGTCAAACACCATCCTGAAAGCACAGCCTGACCTAAACATCCTCAATGACGACCGAGTGTTTCAGAGTTTGTTAACTCTTGAGGAAAGGTTTTTACCTCAGAGTTCTTATTTCCAGCGGGTTCAGAAGGACATACAGCCAATTATGAGGCGAATGGTGGCTAGCTGGATGCACGAGGTTTGTGGACGTTTTCATTCATGCTAACTTCAAACAATATTTTCTCTGCACTACAAGTTGTTACGCTGTAATACACATAAAATGTTTGGTTTATGTGTAGAATTCTTTGTAGAAAATTGATTGAGAATGACTGAATGACTCACCCTAGGCGTGGGAGCCACGGAAATTCCATCAAGAAAACCCAGCTTTAGAGAAATCAATGTTAAACGCTTTGTTTACGCAGTTTCATAGTAATAATCTACAAAATACAAATGGCATTTGATGCAGAATACCTTACTCATAATTTACATGGTCAACATATTCACTTTTGTTCATTACAGTAATTATTATTAATTTTTCCAGTTGCTGCAGCCTAACACCATGGTGGATCAAACAAACATGCGCGCGCACACTTTCTCTTTTGAGACAACTTTGCCTTCTTAATACATATTTACGCATTATTTAATATCTATTTCCATAGTCTATTTCCATAAATGAGCAGGGTTTATGTCATAACACTGTTATGGACTAAATATTGATTTGTGGCAGTTATTTATTTGAATTTATCGTATTTTAAGTTAAACCTTTTCCCCCAAAACAGGAGCCCACACCAATTAGAAAAAAAGAAGACCTCAACTAACTTTGACTAAAATGCGTGTGGTGACATTGTTCAATCACTTTCAGGTATGTGAAGAGGAGAAGAGTAATGAAGATGTGTTTCCCTTGGCCATAAATTACCTGGATAGGTATTTAACTGTAATGCCAATCCGAAAGTGCTACTTGCAGCTTTTAGGTGCTGTCTGTATGTTTCTGGCCTCCAAGATTAAGGACAGCAGGCCACTCTCTGCAGAAAAACTTTGCATGTACACAGACCACTCCATCACGCCGCAGGAATTGCTGGTAGGTTTCTAAAACCACGTACATTTCTATATGACTCTTTGAATGTCACATTTCCAGCAGTCGTAAAATTACTATGTTCTCTGGGGGAGATACTTCTACAGCAGCAGCAGAGTGGGGACCTCTAGTGCCAGTAATGCAACAAGAGACCACAATGGTTCATGTTTGTTTTATTTATCTAGCTTTTCAATGAGACTTAAAAAAAAAGTTATGAGGGGAGAGGAGACCATGAGAAAGCATTTCGGCAGCGGTCAACCCAAATCAGGCTTTATATATGTTATTGATAAAGATATGTCATATCAATCTCTAGTGATTCCTTTTAAAATATTTAAAATATAAGTTTCTTATGTCTGTCTCCAATGACAAAAGCCCTGACACATTTTGGTGCAACTCTAGAGAAGACTTAAGTCTGTTTGATTGAGCTCATTGAAGCTGTCAGAGGCTTGTGACAGGAAGGAAGGGGCAAGCTGTCTCGTTGGCAGGACCTCTAAGCGGGGCAAAGCTCGTCACATGCTGAAGAATGAACACGAACGATGCAAGGAATGAGAATGGCATGCAGATAATGAGATACAGCAAGGAGAGATGAAAAGAAATGTTTGTCTTTCGCCATTTCCGTTTTAAATAGGGGAGGTCTGTGAGTCACTGGAAGTGTGGCATCATGTCTTGGAACGTGACTTTGTCCATTTTTAACCTAAAATTGTCTGACCAGTATGTGTATGTGTTCTAATCTAAAGGACTGGGAGCTGGTCGTGTTGGGCAAGTTGAAGTGGAACATGGCTTCAGTCATTCCAAATGATTTTATAGAGCACCTCTTACACAGACTGTCCCTCCCCAAAGACAAGGTGGCTCTGGTTCGCAAACATACCCTGACATTTATCACCCTCTGTGCCACTGGTAAGGCTTTGTGCCATTTGCTTTGTTTTTGTTTTTTTAAGGTTTATTTACATAATGCACATTCAACAGGTTGAGTCTGTAAAGCCTTTACCTTCTTTTCTACAAAGTACTTAATTCCAGGACCCTATTAACTAGACTGTTGCGTTTCCATGACTTCATTTATTCTGCCTAGCATCAGGATCTGGAATTTCAGTAATGTTTTTCATATCCTGGAGATTTCTACTATTGATTCACATTAAAGTGCAATACTTATCATCAAAGTTCGTTTTTTGTATATCTCCTAACGTCTTGTGCTGAAAAGACAAAGATCATCCTTGTTTAAAATACCTATTTAATGTATTATACCAAGTGGCTTTGTGAAGACTGTATAGAAACAATGGCCTCAAGATGCACACTTTGTTTAGAGCTACTTTGAAAATACTCACAATAATGTACATGTGGTTTAGTGCTATTCGAAAGCAGTTGGTTATATCAAAGCACAAAGCAGCCACAGTAAAAAAAAAAATGGTGGTGGTTGTGCAGAAATGTAAATATTTGGAGTTTTTTATGGGGTGGAGATTTTTTTCTTTTGATAGAGTTTCTCTTAAAGCAAAAGTTTTTTTGAAATAAGTTTTATGACCAAATTTAGGGCTACCCTGGATTGGGATTTGTCTGAAAACGCACACCAATGAAAGGCAATCTCCCAGATAAAAGATTTTTTAAAGACTGAATGACTAAGTTCTTGTAACTATTAAAATTTTATTTAAATATAGATAGTATAAAATATTATTTATATTACAGGGTTAGCTTTGTTTTACAGTGTATGTAAACTTGCACTATAAGCACTTGGTAAGACAAGCTTCAGAGTTTTGGATCAAGATTCAGCTGTGGAGCTTTCAGGTGAAATAATTGAATATATGAAAGTATGGTTTATTCTTCAGAATTGAAAGGCGCACAGAAGGAATGATGTGTTTTGAGGACTAGGGGTGGGCAATATGGGCAAAAAAAATGTTTTTTTTCCCAATAACGATATTGTCACAATATATTTACAATCAAGAATTTTTATACACAATCATCTGCAATGTTTTATCTATAGATAGAGACAGTGTAGATCAAAATAGCAGCTTTTTTTTTGTTAAGTGCTTTACACATCTTTGCAAAACATACACAAACATTTATTAACATTAAAAATCAAATTCAAGTAACACAGTGAGAACACATCCAATAGAGATGTACAAATAAAGCAGTGATTGGCTTTTTAAGCACGCATTTGATGAATGGGCATCTTGCTTGCTCTAATTGTAATATGTCCATCCATCCATCCATTTTCTACCCCTTAATCCATTTCTGGGTTGGAGGGGTGGCAATCAGAGATGCCACCCAAGTCACAGAGCACCAGCCCCTCACTGATCCTCCTGCAGGTGGTGGGTCCACAGGAGGACAGCTGCTCTGTAAGTGTGAGCATAGCCTTGATCTTTCAGCGGGGGCTTTGGGCAAAGTGGGGTTAAGCGTCTTGCCCAAGGACTAAACAACAGCAGACATCAGTGGGAGTCGGTGGATAAGGTTGTTTTTTTGTTTTTTTTTTGACGATAATGCGAAAAAGCACATCTTCAAATTCACTTTTGCAATATTATCGTCTACCATTTATATCGCCCACTCCTCATGAGGAGTTTCCTCCTGTTCTTTATCCACTTTCCCAGGCCGTATTGACTCTTAAACATTTTCAAATTGGACTTAGACTTTGGGGAGTCTTTGCTGGAACTCATTGCTCAGCGAGTAGGAGGATTCTTACTCTGCTTTTCTAATCAAACCATGGCTTCTATGAGGGGGAAACCACTGTTTCATTTGCACATCTGCAATCTGTTTTTGGAAGTGTACACAGTGGGAATGTTGCTGTCTGGTCCATAACTTTGTTCTGGATGGTGATTCTGTTTGAATACTCTACTAAAGTTTCTTTGACAACAACTTTTTGGGGCCAATAAACTCAAATAGTACTGTTGCGTTGTATACATTGCTCATCCTTGTCGTTGATAGTAACAACTTCAAAAATGTTATAGGCCTTGATTGATGATTGCATTTAATATCTTTAGATGACTGTCTTGCAATGCACCCACCTTCAATGATTGCCACTGGCAGCATGGGAGCGGCTGTCTGTGGCCTGCAGCTGGACTACGGTGACTCCAAGCTGAGCCGAGGCAACCTGGCCAACCTCCTAGCCAAGATCACAAACACTGAAGTGGTAAGTATAAATAATGGTATATGCACTTTACATTAATTATGATGAAAAATGGCCAAATCTGGTTTGGAGAGTATATAAGTCACCCATTATGAATATATATATTTCAACATCTAAATCGAGTTTGTGAGTATGAATTTATGAAAAGAACAAGGATGCACTTGCTTATTCTTTTGACATATGCATACAACTTCTTAACCATCAGCTATTCTAATTGAGTGCTCCAAACTGCTCTTAATATATTACGTATTTAAACTTTAAGATTTTTGATGGTAGTTCCTAAAATTCCCGCTATGATTTTAATATTCTAATAATTACAATTGTATGAAAATGCCCTAATTAAAATTATGATTCAGATTTTTCATCTTCATAGCAAAAATTCCCACAATGCAACAGTCAAAACAGCCCTCCCACTGCAGCCCATCAGGTTCCAATTATCCATGCATTTCAAAGGAATGCTGGCCGCTTTGTGAGCCTTGTGCATACTTTTAGGGTCGTGCTTGGTGAGATAGACCTCCCACATCTTCCCTGGAGCTGCAGGGATGAGAAGATTTTTAACAGACAGACAAAAGAGACTGGAGTTTCAAAGTAGCTCCGAGGGGAAGTTGTCCAAAAACATCCGGTACTTTTGCTATATTCGGTTTTGCACCAAACTCTGACATTTAGGGAGCATTAGGTCAAAGCCATTTCCTCCAGGCCTTCGCATCAGACCCGCCGTGTTGTAAACCCAGAATGGGAGGAGAGAGGCTTTCTTCTACACACCTCTTTTGTCCCTTCACTTCCCCCATAAGACTCATTGTGCAGACACGCTGGTGTTGTGTCTCAGAAGTTCAATGACCACTAGACCATTTATTTTTTAGTATGTGTGTGCTGGTACCATTGTTCTGGGGCAGACAGGACCACCTACCATAGTGCTCATAATTCCCTCTTGGTATGCTATGCATGTGATCATTACTGTTAAAACAACGTGCACCCCCCAAAATGAAAAAATACCACGTAGAAACAAAACATGTGTATGATCGCCTTGATTCAAATGCAAGTGATCCCCCTTTTGTTTCAGGATTGTTTGAGGGCTTGCCAAGAGCAGATAGAGCGTGTTTTGGCCAGCAGCCTGCAGCAGGACCGACAGGAGTCTGGGGTCAGGGCAGGAAACAAGGCGAGAGAGCAGCAGCACCAGGCAAGCACCCCAACAGATGTACGAGATGTCAATTTATGAACTCGTCCACACCAATGAGGCTCGGATCCAAATGGCATGTTCAGGAGAATCTTTGCAAAGTTGCTGAAGAAACAGTGACATGACAATCTACATGAACTTAGAAAAGTGTGTATTCCTAGTTTTCACATTTTACAGAATTGATCCATTGTATGGGGGCATACTTTTTGTATAAGATATTTAAATGGTAATTTCTTGAAAACTTGATAGTCCTTTTAGGTTAGAGTTGTAACCTAAACATACGCAAAGTTATGGATATTTGATATTTGGGTGGAATTTTTGAGTGAAAACGACACAAAATTGCTACTTCATGAAAGTAGAGCATTACGGAGCATGCAATGGGGATCTTCCATATCTCAAACATCATTGAAGGGGGGAAATGCATCAAAAACAGATGTATCGTCTGCTGAGATATCCCACCCCTGATATGTTACTGAGGGTCTGTGGTACAGGCTTGCCTCGTGACAACTGTGGCTGGTGTAGAGTGCTCTCAAACAGCGCTGGCAGCCGTCATTTCTGCTCATTTACTTTAGAGTATGGTACTAGCCCAGACTAAATATCATAATTGAATATTTACTCTCTTAACCATCTGTTAATTTTCTTGTTGGACCAGTGTGGTATAAAAATGTCCATTTATTGGGGACTACATGTCTCATTGTGCATCTCTATGTGGTCAGCATTTCAACGATAACCATTTTAAAAACAATTCAAATCAAACCCGAGTCATCTGTTGGCTGATTTAGGATCAAACACATGTACCTTCCTATCAGAAAACAAATTGAACTGTTAGACCGGTCCATTTAAACATTTTAACAAGGACCTTTTTAAGGTTCTTGTGTATTTTAAGTTCATCCTTATATTCCACCCGTGAGCTGAATATCCCTAACCTTTTGTGTTTTTTATTACTTGAATGGATGCCATAATGATATGAAACATGAATAATCCTTTATACCATATATTTATATTCTATATCTGATTAGAAAATTGGTATTTTTGTTCAAGTATCAATTAACGGTTTTTTGCGATTCTTAAGTAAAAAATACATGGATGATAATGTTGAACAACTACAGCTGATGGCATTTATAGCACGCTAAGCCACCAGAGGGCACTAGTGTTCCTTGTTTGCGATTGTTTTTCTCTCACAGCTGTTTGCTCCTGTGCTGGCAAGGAGCAGGCTGGGCCTGCTCAAATAAGGCACCACATTAGGGTAGTGTGGTTTCAGTTGGGGGTTTTCCCCACTATATAATATCTGAGAATAGGTTAGTTGATTTTCTCAAACCAAATGCATCTTCACCAGTCAGGTGACTGATTATAGAATCCAAATGTATTATTTCTGCTTGTGAGAAATGAATAATTCATAGTTTTTTAGTAGAGATTGTAAATAGAGAAGGAAGATTCAGCATGTTTTACTGGGAAGCTAACTGTTTAATGTTGGATGAGAGATTTAAAGCTGGGTTACCTAAAAAAAAAATCTACAGAAATAGATTTGTAAAGTAAAAAGTTGTGTAGAAAACAAACTAGAACATGCTGTTGTTATTTTTAATCATTTTATCTTTTACATACTTGAAGGAAAGAGCCCTGTGAGTCAATATTTGATATTTTGGGCTGAGAGCTGATTGACTAAGTGAGGGTGGTCTTCTTTTATAAGTTTTGTCAAGAAAAGGCCAAAGAATACATGCATACATGGAAAAACTAGTTTGATTTTTGTTAGGTGGTCCAGCTTCTTAGTGTGTTGAACAAGAAAGTAAGTGTATGTATCAAAAGAAAAGTCGAATGGAGCAACAAAAACGTAAGCTATCTTTGTACAAATGAGTTACTTGAGTTATATACTGGAGAACAATATGTGCTTATACATCCAGCAGTGAGAAGCTGCCACTGCCTGAGGTGGGTGTAAGGCTGTTACCTGTTCCAATGTACCAAATGAATTTGAATGGGCTCTGTGGCTTGTAACAATGTTAATGCACTTTTAAAACACTTTAGATACAAGAGAAGTGGGGCAAGTTAGTGGGGTATTGGGGCCATGTTTTCTTTATAAGTTATTTGATCTTTCTGGGCTGGATTCCCATGGGGTGTGCAGTTATCGTGAGCCACACCCCAACAGGTTGGTTGGGCGTAGGATCTTCAATATTATAGCTGTGTTAAGTTACACCATAATCGGTTGCAATGCAAACTAAGGAAAGCAGAGTCACACTTTGATTCCGCACTTCCTGTTCTATCTTACTTGAATTTTATGAATTCATAGCCAAATCTTCCAATAGTTCTTCCAAAGAGTTTGTTTTGAAATATGTTATTCGTGTTATATATTTTTCTATGTACAGTGGAACCCAGAAGTTTGCATACACTGTTGAGGGTGAAAAACATTTGTTTTTCTGTGTCTGAAATTTAAGTTCTGACTGAAAGTAAGAGATAATTCAATAATGTTGCATTAAGGCAATTTGAAATCATTTTGGGAAAAAATAACTGGCCAATAAACCAAACAAATCATTGTCTTTTTTACATATACTTCTGGTTTCCACTACTTTAATATGCTCACAAAATTGAGCTTCCATTGTTTAAACTCGAGATGTTACATAATGTGTAAACGTGTAAATGACCAATTTCCCATGAGAAATAAATCTAGCTGTCATTGCATTTTAGATAAAAGCTCATAAAATGACATTCATGGTTATACATGATTTGTTGTGCATAGAGCCGAAGGGCTTTCATGCAAGATCTTAAAATGACAATTGTGTATGCTTTTAAAGCTATTGTGTATAAAATCCAAACACAGAAAAGTATAAATTAACATTTTCTTTGCTGCTATAAAGCCTTTGTTATGTACACAACTAAGTCTTCTGTATTGTGATTTATGTCTGTGCTGCTATTATAAAATGTACCAGTCTTAGTTTTGACCCATGTATGTGTAGTGGAGGGACCACCATGACACCTCTGCATGGGACTGGAAGCTTTTTGTCAATGTTAATCATTTGATTTGCATGTTTTTGTATCGCGCATTCTTGCTGCTGTTTGTACTGTTCTTCTGTACCTCAGGTTAATTGGATAAATAAGGCGAGAGCCACTCTTGCATTACCTCATACACTCCACACACATTTGACGGGTTTTATGTTTTGAAAAAAAAAACACACACAAATTACAGTGCCTACTGCAGACTTTAGAGTCCGGTGCTAGATCTGACATGTGGATGACATGATTTTGCCTGTCATTTCTGTGTTCTCAATATAAAATATGTAAATCTTGTTTTTTTTTTTTGGTTCATTTTGGTTGTTGTAAAATTCTGATGGCTCCTGACACAAAACAGCCATGCAGTGGTCCTCAATTTCTCTTCAATAAATTGGCTTTAATCCTTATTTGTGATCTTCTGTGATCAATCTTTGGGTAGGATATCCGTCAAACATACGTTTGTAAAATAGATGGAAAGCTTGATACTTTATTGATCCCTATAAGAGAAATTCTGATGTCCAGTAGCAGCAAAAATGCATTTACCCAAACTGCTGTGGCCTAAGGTCCTGAACCTGAGCCACTGTGGTTACAAAAGTGTGTATGGTTTTCCTGACGCGTGTTCCTGGTAAAAGTAGTTCAATCCACTATTATGAATGACAAAAAGTTTCTTTATTTGCCAAACATTCCATTAAATACACGGTCAGAAGACATTACCTCCACACTGCAACATCAGCAGTCTAGGTATTCAGCAAATCTAGACTACCCTGGCACATAGTGGGTGGGGGTGTATATGGCGACTACACAAGCAAAACAAATAAATTGATAATTCTAAAAAGTAATACTAATAAGAGACAGCACTTCAGGTCACAGCAGCAGAGGCGGTGTAGGACGGGCCACAGCAGCAGAGATGGTCTCAACTTTGGGTGGAGCAGGACGGGTCACAACCGCAGAGGTGGAGTCGCTGCTTGGTTCGGACCATTTTCTCTGCTCTGGTTCAAAGTAAAATGCTAAATGCTTTGTTAGCATATTATATTTAAATATTTGCATATTTGTGTTGTGGTGGGTAGCTGCGTTTATTTTTACAGTCTATGGTTTATTTCAGCACCTGTGTTGACACTAGCACCATCTAGTGGTTCAGGCACTAGTCTATTCACGGCTTGGCTACTGAATGTGGGAAATCAAACTAGTTTGCAATAAGAGTGCTTCTTGGGAGATCAGAGGCTGGTTTTCGCTCTCTGAAAAGAGTTAAGGTTGAGTTGCGAGTAAATTACTGCTCTGGACCAGTATTCAGGCTGGTTTGGACCAGTCCACTGTTTGGACAGACCTGTGAGCAGGCCATTGCAGTAGTCTAACCTACTGGAGACAAATGCAAGAATCTCCAAGTCTGCTATAGACACTATGTTTTTGATCCTGGCAATGTTTTTTAGATGGTAAAAAGCTGCTGATGTTACTGATTTGATGTGGCTATTAAAATTTAAGTCTGAGTCCAGTATTACCCCTAGATTTCTGACCTTGTTTGAAGGTTTTAGGGAGAGAGACTGTAGGTGACAGATGACGCTCTCTCTTTGTTTCTGGGGACCAAAGACAATCATTTCATTTCATTTCATTAATGTGAAATGTGGTGCTCCTACACCGCAAACAGACATTGCTTACCACTTTGAGCTGAACTGCAGTTCTTCCAAGAGGGAGAGGCGCAGCCAGAGAGCTACACCCGTTGCACCGCGGTGAAGTTAGTTTGAAGTTGGATATCCGACAGACATTCAACGGTCATTCCCTCTCGGTACACCTCTCCTTCTCTCTGGGTTCAGAGCGACTCGAAAGCCGCTCCAACATTTTAGTGCACCCCTACTACACACAGTACGGTAAACACGCGGAGACATGTATACGCTGGTCTAATATTTACATATAAAAAATCATTAAAAATACTCGCAACATTTTAATGATAAAAGAAGGGGTGTACCCCCTGCAGCTAGTGGAGGACTATGATCCTGACCTGATTTGGAGTCAATAGATCACATGACCTGGAAGCTATTGAGCTAAAATGCTAATATTTGCCTTTATAAAATCATTAAAAATACTTACAAAAACTTAAATGACAAAAGAAGAGGTGTACCCCCTGCAGCTAGTGGAGGGCTATGATCCTAAACTGATTTGGAGTCAATAGGTCACATGACCTGGAAGCTATTGAGCTAAAATGCTAATGTTTACATATAAAAATTCATTAAAAATACTTAAAAAAATTTAAATGACAAAAAAAGAGGTGTACCCTTTGCATCTAGGGGAGGACTATGATCCTGACCTAATTTGGAGTCAATTGATCACATGACCTGGAAGCTATTGAGCTAAAATGCTAATATTTGCCTTCAAAAATTCATTAAAAATAATTAAAAATACTTAAATGACAAAAAAGAGGTGTACCCCCTGCAGCTAAGGGAGGACTATGATCCTGACCTGATTTGGAGTCAATAGGTCACATGACCCAGCCCGTCGTCTTGGGCGCCATCTGCAGGATGGGGCGCAAAATTGCAGTCTGAAGTTTACGTTTTTTTTAAGTGTCCTTTTCTAAATTACTATTCTGCTAAGTGTTTCCCATCACGTAGGCATGAAAAAATTATTGAAATACTCAATAAAAATCGCCATCATTAAACCCTGCTGTTACTGCACTCAAGGTGAGTAGGTGGGGGTGGGGCAGCCTGGGACATCCCAGAAAGTGTAAAATACATACATCAAAAGGGTAAAATAAATGCAACCATATATATAATACAAAATATAGGAGATATGATATAGGTTGTAGGTTCGAGCCCACCATTGGACCTACTTCACGACTCCCACTGGTGACTGCTGTTGTTGTGTCCGTGGGCAAGACAATTATCACCACACCTGAAGCCCCCGCTGGAAGATCTCAGCTCCTGTGGACTCACCACCTGCAGGAGGATCAGTGAGGGGCTGGTGCTATGTGTACTGGGGGCAGCTCTGACTGCCACCCTTGACCCAGAAATGGATTAAGGGGAAGAAAATGTTATATATATATATATAGATATATATGCATGCTAGGTGTAGGAGAAACAAGCCGAAGAAGCGTCATCCAAGGAGCCGTCTGCACCAGGAGCAGTATCCTCTCTCCTCAGGGACACAGGACCCAGAGGAGAGGGAAGGCCCCAGACCTCCACCAAGTCCAAGAGCCAGACCCCCACAGCCACAGCAGACCACTGCTTTCAGTGCAGTGGGCAAATTTGTATACTTTACTTTATTTTACTTTATTCTTTATTCCGGACTCAAGGTCCATACAAAAGACAACACAAGGACACCACAAGACACAGAAAAAAAATAAAAATAAACCTGTGTGGAATGATTGGAACAATATCTGACTCTGAACATTGTAAAGCGCTTTGGGTGACCTTGGTCTGTAAAATGTGCTGCATAAATAAACATTACTTACTACTACTTGAGCCTTCTTTTAGAAAAATGAAAGTGGCCCTGAGTTCCTCCGGCAGACTGTTCCAGAGACGGGGGCCGTAGTGATGGACGTAAAGCGCTTTGGGTGACCTTGGTCTGTAAAATGCGCTATATAAATAAACATTACTTACTCACTTACGTGTACATATGCCTCAGCTTGAGTGTGTGTCCTGGCTTTGGTAATGGAGGAGTCTGCTGCAAGAACCGGGATGGTTCTTTGGATAAAAGCAGTTATGAGTAATAAGAAGGCCCAAGACCATGAAGACATGAAAAAAACCAGTGAAAGAACCTAAAAATTGATCCTGAAACACACGGGAAGCCAATGCAACAAATTTAAAACCGATGTAATAAAACTGTACTGTATTAAAAGTCAGGATCATATTCCTCCCCTAGCTGTAGGGGGTACACCTCTTCTTTCGTCATTTAAGTTTTTTTAAAGTATTTTTAATGAATTTGTATATGTAAATATTAGCATTTTAGCTCAATAGCTTCCAGGTCATGTGATCAATTGACTCCAAATCAGGTCAGGATCATATTCCTCCCCTAGCTGTAGGGGGTACACCTCTTCTTTTATCATTAAAAGTATTTTTAATGAATTTTTACATGTAAATATTAGCATTTTAATTCTATAGCTTGTAGGTCATGTGACCTATTGACTCCAAATCAGGTCAGGATCATAGTCCTCCACTAGTTGCAGGGGGTACACCTCTTTTTTTGTCATTTAAGTTTTTTTTAAGTATTTTTTATGAATTTTTGAAGGCAAATATTAGCATTTTAGCTCAATAGCTTCCAGGTCATGAGATCAATTGACTCCAAATCAGGTCAGGATCATAGTCCTCCACTAGCTGCAGGAGGTACACCTCTTATTTTATCATTAATATGTTTTAAGTATTTGTAATGAATTTTTAAAGGCAAATATTAGCATTTTAGCTCAATAGCTTCCAGGTCATGTGATCTATTGACTCCAAATCAGGTCAGGATCATAGTCCTCCACTAGCTGCAGGGGGTACACCTCTTTTTTGTCATTTAAGTATTTTTAAGTATTTTTAATGTATTTTTAAAGGCAAATATTAGCATTTTAGCTCAATAGCTTCCAGGTCATGTGACCTATTGACTCCAAATCAGGTCAGGATCATAGTCCTCCACTAGCTGCAGGGGGTACACCTCTTCTTTTATCATTAAAATGTTGCGAGTATTTTTAATGATTTTTTATATGTAAATATTAGACCAGCGTACATGTCTCCGCGTGTTTACCGTACTGTGTGTAGTAGGGGTGCACTAAAATGTTGGAGCGGCTTTCGAGTCGCTCTGAACCCAGAGAGAAGGAGAGGTGTACCGAGAGGGAATGACCGTTGAATGTCTGTCGGATATCCAACTTCAAACTAACTTCACCGCGGTACCCGTTGCCTAGCGACGACAGAAGCTAAGTTAAAATGCTAAGCAGACCACAGAGCTCAAAAGGGGAGAGTAGCCTTACCGATTACAGCATAAGGGGAGACATCATGCATGTTTGCAGAAGCAAGCATTCGAGAAAAACTTCAGAACATTGTTTGCAGTAGAATTAGCCACTTGCTCCTTCTTCATGCCACGGATCTTCCTTTTATGTTTCCCAGGCATCTTACTTTTAACTTCGTTCACCAAAATAACTTCCATTCAAAGTTGTCTTTCAATATTAGCTCAGACACATTGTTAAGAGTTCATTACTGGTTCGTTTGGGTTCAATAAACCTCAAGGCTTCTCTCTTTTCCGCCCCCTTTTACAGGGAAATACCGTCATTCCAAATTGCGTAATGACGTTGTACAACACGGAAGTAACGCGTGCGTCGCTCTTTTTGTGCATGTTTATGCGGCTCTTCCTTGATGCAGCAAGATGCCCACGTTCAGCTTGACATTAATTCGACAGTAAGTGTATCACATCACATAAGAGTATTCACTCCTAATTGTTGTAATCGTGTAAATAGGTATATTGTCACTGCAAATGCCTCGCATGTTCTGTGTACAGTGGGGAGACGCAGTACAACAGAGACAAACTTCTACAAGGTAGCTCAGTCTCTCAATAAAATGTTGTCTTTACATTTTTCAACAAGTAGCAGTTAAGGGCATCTCCGGTTTGTCTGCTGTCATGTTGTAGGTCAAGGCGTGGACACACTGTTGTCAGAGGCAGGTGCACTGCAGGGACAGGCTGTGGGGCAGTACCTACGGGACATTCCGTTCAACTACGTGTTTGTAAGCAACCTCCAGCGGGCTGTACAGGTAATCCTCATGGGGACCTAATAAACACTTGTTACACGGCTCCTTTCTGACTGATGTCATATCTCTAGACAGCCGAACTCATTCTGAGGAATAACACGCACTGTTCTAGCGTCAAGATGGTTTTGGAGCCTTTACTCAGGGAGAAGGTGACCTTTTCACTTTATTAACACGTCACGCCCGACATTATACTTGTGTGTTGTGTTCGTCATACAGAGTTTTGGCATTGCTGAAGGGCGTCCTAAGGAGAGCCTGAAGAACATGGCCAATGCTGCTGGACAGTCATGTCGGGATTTCACTCCCCCTGGGGGGGAGACCTTTGACCAGGTATTTATGACTCAAGATACTGATCATTCTGTTACACATGTATAGTCAATTTTTAATGAACTATCAGTGTTCCCCCTTAATATTCACTTATCTTTTATTGAATGTGTGTGCTCCTCAGTCCTGTGGTACTGTAACCTGTGTTGCAGAACTGAAATTTCCCCACTGTGGAATAATAAAATGATCTTAATCTCAAGGGTCATCTTAGTGTCAGCCTGCTCTCTGTGATGACACAGTTTGCTTTTGTTCTGATTCTTTTAAGCCAACGTTACAATTGTATGTACTGGAGATAGACCTGTTTTTTTATATCCCAAGTCCATCAAAATGTATCTTTTATTTATTCCTACTGTTGGGACACACCAGAAATTGGGACAGCACCTTTTTAGCATCCTATAATTCTTAAAATAGCATCAGATGTAGTCATTTATCAAAGTATTTTTCCCTAACATTGTTCACAAAATGATAACATTTGCAGTTACCGTGCTAGATTTAAAGCAAAAAATATATTATGATTTCTTATACCTGTCTACTCATTTTCAAGTAAATCAAATGAAGAAGAAATAATAAAAAAATCTTGTTTTTTGTTATTTTATTTTAATCCCCCAGAACAACTGGACTAGATGTTGAAACATTTGAGCAATACTGCCCTCTGGTGCCTGAAAAAACGTAAAAACACCTGTATGTTATTATCCAGCCTTCATAGTCTTCCCTACCCATGTCACAGGATACTTGACATTTACCAGATACGGGAAATTGGTATTTAAATATACACTTAAGATACATTGTTAAGTACATTATAAAAGTTACTATTCATCCAAATCTAACTTTCATTTAACAAGCATTTATAGACAATCATCAACATTTCATATTGCTTAAAATTACTTAATGATAATAAGTTTTTGTAAGCTCTCAGTCGTACAGGGATTATTCAAAACAAAGGTAGGTTTAGCAACCTTCCTTTGTTTTAATAAATGAATGAATATTTATTTATTTATTATTGTGTCTTGCATACAACTGTGTGCCCAGCCCTTTCATGGGCTTATAACACACCAATATAAACAGGATCAGATGACTGACAGAATACAATATATAACTTTTTTGAATAAACAGGATTGCCGGCACTTCCAGGCTTAACCAACAGCCTATTTAAACACATTGGAATTAACTCATTGACTGCCAGCTGTTTTTTTATGATTTCACTGATTCTGAAGACCCACAGAAAATTATTTCCTAAGACTGTGTGAGATATGAAACCAGATTCTGAAAGACTGGATTGTCTTCTTTCATCAGCAAAAATAAGTTTGTTTTTAGCTATTTTTATTGTTCTGTAATCCCCAGTTGAATAGAGGGTCTCAGACAAATACGTCAATGGCAGTCAAGGAGTTAAACAAACATTTCAGCTTATCCAAAACAATTCAGGTTTTTTTACAAACAGACCACTAAACAGAAGATTACAAAGATCGTCATACAAAGAACAATACAAAACAAAATGTGTTTCATTTTCCACCTCTCATAAAGTTTTCTTCTTTGGGAGTCTGAGTAAACCTTCCCGTTTCTAAGCCAGGGGGAGGGTTTCAGAACGCAACTGAGCAAGCAGAGATCTTTGATTTCTTGTCAGATTTGCTTTAACGTAGAGTTCTGCTTCAAATACGTCCTTTTGTATGCATGTTCTTAACTTTGGTTTTGCCAGAATCCCATTCAATTAATTTGATTAATTTTGACATTGCAGAGCAGATTATTATGAAATGTATACTGGAGATGTACCTCAGCAAATACAGTATGAATCTCAGCAGCCCCAGGAGCTTCACTCCAAATAAAGATTTTTTTGTTAATCTATTATCAGACAGATTCATTATTCTATTCCATAACTTAACCATTTCACATTTCCTTTGAACTACACCACGAACCCAACCCATGTCCTCCTGTGCTGCTGAAACAGGAACAAACGTATGTACCCCCAGAAAACCACAGATTGCTCGGTTTTCAACAACATCCAAGGTTGTTGAAATGATATTGAAAAGAAATATGAAAAGTTGTAGAAAGAAAGGAAGGTTGGAAGGAAGGTAGAGCAGTTATCATGGCTCGCTTTCATTCAGGCTCCAGCTTCACTGGCTGCAGATTATTTTAAAATCTCAGTTTTCATGGCAATTTAAAACATTATTTGATTCCTTTCTAATTGTCCCACAGTTTTTGTTATGCAAACCAATATTTTTTATTGTTCCTAGAATAGAAATTATATTTGAATTTAAAGCTCCTTCTTATTGGAACAGCCGTTATTGATCAATTCTCTGACTTTACTACCTCTGGAAACGCTCTAGTACAATATTTTTTTACGTCCTTAGTATCTGCAGGTAATTCTCACTAACTTCTAACACTTATGAAACTGTCATATTTTTCCTCAACAGGTGAAAACTCGCTTCAAAAAGTTTCTTTCAGTCCTTATCCACCAACTTGCTGAACCTAAAACCCTTGAGTTGTCAGAACAGGAAGCTGCTGCAACATCTAAAAGTGGAGATGACCCAGACAGCGCCCCCTGGGGGTCACCTGTTGATGGACTAGAGGGGGTATCTGTCCATGTTCTTGTGGTCAGTCATGGGGCTTATATACGTATAGCCATAAAGCACATGATTGATGACTTGAACTGCTCACTGCCTTATGGGGCAAAGATGTCCCAAGTCTTCTCTCCGTGTCCAAACACTGGAATAACCCGCTTCCTCATCACTCTGGAGCCCTCAGAGTCCGGCCCAGTGCTTTCTGCTGCCCAGTGTGTCTTTGTCAACAGACAGGACCATCTGCAAAACATGGAGGCTGTGAAACTGTTGTGAGTGCTGTACCCAGTGTTCACCAGGCCTTCTTTAGGCCAGGGGCCACAACAGGCCTTCCAAACAATCCAGCTCATGGAGCCCATGGGCCCATTTCAGGGCCTATAAATGTGTTTACTATTTTTGAGTTACTATACCTGGTCATTAAATCCTGGTGTATATATCATTGTTTATGCAGAGAATATATATATATATATATATATATATATTATATATATATATATGTGTGTATATATGTGTGTAAAAAATATTTTTAACTATGCTATACCAAAGTATGTTAAAAGTGTACACTTGTAAGCAAATATATAAAATGATGCGTCTACATGCCCTGACCATATGTAGAAAATATATATGTTCAGTACATGTAGTGCCATTTAACAGGGTTTCTCTTTCTCCACTTGTTTGGCTTGACACACGTGGATCCAGAATTGTGTTTACTGTTTATTTATCAATCAACGCTACATATGTTTGTAAATATTTCAAGTGCAATAGACACAAAATTGTATGTTGAAAATATATTTTCTTTGTTGCATTGTCTAATGGTTTTTTCCAGAATATTTTATTACAATGTCTGTCTGCTCAAGTTGTAAGATCTGCACCGTTTACCATTAAACAATCACTTAATGTTCTGTGATTTTAGCTCATTTATGATATTTTGCATTTTTCTGCAGAGGCCAATCTTTTAAATTGAATATTTGACCGTGCCAGAAGATTTCATAAATACAATTTATTGTCACAAACAGTTCATATGATACATTCAAAGACGATGCTTAATTTAATTTTTCATTAAATTTACATCCAACCATATGATAAATTACATAAATAAACAAAGTGTTTAAATAAATAAATACACTTTTCCGGTCTGCTACATCTGCTTTATCCGAACGTTATACTAAAACTAAGTTTTAAAGTAAAACAACATTGAAGCTGAAAGTTTTCGATGATCAAATTATTGAAAATCAATTTACTTTTTACTAAGTTTTATAGAAAAATAAAAGAATACATAAGTCAAGTAAAACTCTGGCTAGCATCTGATACTGTGGGGCCATGTGGACCGCAGCATTTGGCCCAGAGGTTCGTTCGGTCTTTGGGAGTTACAAACGTTGCAAAGCCCCTCATGATGTCATGTCTGGAAGTGAAAGTGTCCTGCTGCGGTCCCAACGATGTCAAACCCCTCCGAGCGGGGGCTGTCAGCCCAGGTTACCCGTGCTCCTGGAGCTGCCCGGGTGTAGCACGTTCCATGGGTCGTGTACGTTGGGGTTCACCGGTGTTTCACGGGAAGTGTTACGGCCATCGTCCCCAGCCTCAGTCTCCAGCTCCAGCTCCAGCTCCAGCTCCACATCATCTGGCTCCGGCACTGCGCGCGAGTCTGCAGCGTCCTCCGTGCGCACCACATACGCACTGTGGGGGTCTGAGGGGTCCACCAGCTGGTTCCTCTTCTCCCGGTGCAGCATCAGGCGCTCCAGAGGCACCGTGTTCTTTCTGGATAGAAACAGCGAGGTTTGGGGCAGGTTCTGTCCGGGGAAAAACACCTGCCTAGACCCCTCCAGATTGAACAATATCCCGGTCCTACTCGAGCAGTACACGTCTCGATTGTTTTCTAGGAGTCTGTGGTTGAAGAGACAATCCTCCCGCAGACAAATGGGCTGAGGACATGAAGTTAAAAGTAAGTAAACAACGAAATGTAAATAACAGAATAATTATCTGACTTACAGAGCTGTATGGAGTGCCCTCTGCATCCATACAAAGATAGCGACTGCTTTTGATGCCGAGGATTGCAATGCGCTCTCTTGTATCACTCTTAAGTAGAATCACACCTGGGGAGATACAAACGTATATGTTTTTGACCCATTACATGTATACACATTTCGTCTGTACATTTGCCTATATAATAAGTTGAATACTCACTGCATGCGCTTCTGACGGTGCTTTTACGCACTGATCCGTCCTCGCGAATCTCCAAATAGAAGTTGTTAAGGTCCGTGGATGTTTGCAGGTGGACGAATCTCCTCGGGTTTCCCCAGTTGGAACCCACTAACGGAGATGGATTTGGGGCTGATTCACCGATATGAACCACCCGCAGAAGAGCCAGGAGAAGCGCCAACAAAGTGTCTCTCAGCCCGTGTTTCGTGTAGACGTCCATCCCGATGCAAACACTTGTTCTCCTGGAACCTGCTGAAGTGTCACCGCGAAGGATGCTCTGTTCTGCAGTTTAAGTCCATTCCTATTTAAGGTCCTAAAGTGCCACCCCTGCATCCCTCTGGTAAAAAAAGAAACTCGCCCCCAAACAGATGTGCGGCTACGCGGCAGCGGAAGGGCCACTTCCACTGTCTGTTTGTCCCCGTACTTCTGTCACACAAACGTAGGCCTGCTTTTATTTTAGAAGTGCACTCCTCCACCTTTTAGCCAACTACAACTTCAGCACGAGCCGGAAACACGGACTGTAAAAGAATCCCTGAGTATTATCTCCCTCAGTGACGTCACCCAGTGCCAAACTGACATAAACGTCGTTAAATATCCTTCAGTCTTCACGCGCTCTTCAATCACCGTACTTACAGCACTGGCCAGCAGAGGGCATCCGTGTGCTACAGACTAGTATTCATGGTCTGATTTTGTCTCAATTGAAATATGTTTTTTCCCACTTTTACTTGCAGTTGTCATAAGTATACGTGAAAATGTCACAACACAGCTGATACAATATTCAAACATAAGAAATCAAGTGGGTATTAAAATGGCGTTAAATTATGAAAACTGTTGTATGAGCTATTAGTCAGAAATTACTGAATGGAATTATGTAACCCGAGAAACATACTTTCCCTTGTTTTAACCAATATGACAATGGTGATAATTGATAATCGAGAAAGCCAGGAATGGCTTAAGATTTAACGCTAGCGACCAATGTAAAACAAACTTTAATAATTATTTGATGAATACAGCATACTGTTGTGCACAGCACATACATTTAACAATAAAAATAAATGGAACATTAAAATCATAATCTGTACTGTCTCATTTCAGAAACAAACAATAAGTGCCTCTTTCACAATCATAATCTACCAAGAGCTATGACAGAAAAGAGGTATGTATGAAAACAAATGAGAGACATAGTGTATAACACTAGCAAAAAATATTCAAAACAATATTAACATGTTTCATACTAGCAACACACTGTTCATAAACATCAAGAAATCATTGATCATTTGTTTCTGAATGAACAAATTGGGTACAGCAGCAAAAAATCAAAACATTTTTGGTCTAAGCTAAATTATGTATATTTCATTCTTGTTCTGTGCTGAGTATATATTAGGTTTTGATCTGAAAAGTGCTTTGTCAGGCTACAATTAAAAGTTAAAAGAGAAGGCAGGGCTCCACGCACTTCCTCTGCTTGAAAGGCAGATTTCACTACATATCATATAATTTATATCTGCCCAAAATGTCATGACTATCTGCATGCAATGTTAGCTATACTGTTCAGTTACTTATTTCCCAAGGAAACAATCATCACAGATTTCATATATCAAGGGCCAAAGTCAAACTCAGTGATGTTAATGCTGTGAGACGGCTCTAAAAGAAACGTTTCAATTGGATCAAATGAACTGAAGCTTTACTGCACATGACTTAAAATAAATATTTGTGAGTTGTTACTAGTTAATTAACTGTTAACCTAAATCTACTGAAAGGAGAGAATGAACTTGCAACCTTCACAACCTGCAGCAGTTGAGACAAAAGGGATAAAGGCCAGCAAACGGAAACTTACAGGCATATAGCTTCAAAAAGTCACATTTCCTCCACCACATAACCAGGTTTTCAAGAACACAGCTGTGTTCTGACAATTGTTATCAGTGTATACGCAGATATAAATAAAGTCTATTCTTGAACTCCTCCACAAAGGATTTTCATACTATTGCATCTTGATGGAACTGACATTTACAAAGCCTTAGTCCTTCAGAGTAAGATTGGCTTATTGCATTTGTCTGCCACAGCCCTGACACCTCGCTGTTGTGCTGCTTTATTTCCCAAATGAACAAAGCATTATTGACCCAAAGAAAGACAAGGAAACTGCTCATTAATCTTACTATGAAATATAGGAGGATTTACTTAGTGTCATAAACCTCTCGTACTTCAATCAGACATAATCAACCCATGTTTTGCTTGCCTTGTCATTGAAATTTAAACCAAAATGTATATTTCAGGTTCTGCTTGCATATAATAGAGCTTGAATCTTCTAGGACAAGTTCATAGTCTATGTGTACGCTCAGTACAGTCGAAAGGGACATTCAAAGAACCGAAAGGATATGTCCACGCGCCACCCTTTCACTGGTAGTGAATACAGAAAAAATATGGTCTCATTTCTTTGGCTAACTAGCCTCAACTACAGACTGTACATTACTTAATTGATCTAATTTCAGAAAAGAAAACAAACCAGAGATAGTCATTCCTCACTTGAGACTCTCCGATCATCTGTCCTATTTCTGACTCCTGTGGGTGTCTCTTACATGCAAGTTAAAGGGCCACCAACGGAAATTCCAAGGCACCTTTGAATCGTTCGGCAAAGGTACTGCATTTTTAGTGGCTTGTTGGCCTGCAGCTGATAGAAAGAACGTAACACTTCAAAATCCTTTTTACAGCTGATATTTGGCGGCATGCATCTCCTCTTTAGTAAAAGTGAATCTCTGAGGTAAATAAACTATTTATGTGACAAATAGTTTTAGACCAATAAACTGAGAGGAAATAACTGACTAAATATTATCGCAAGCACCAAGGTATCTTGGACAGGCAAAGGCAATTTTGACTCCAATCTCAAAGATCAAAGTATAAGCAGCACAGAATGGCATGATCATGTATCATCACACGTGAACCATCATTTGTGAACCATCAGTTCATAGCTTTTTACAGTTAATTGTGTTACCTGGACATGTGTCCTTGTGTGCAAAAGTGAGTTATTGCTAGTTTCAGTCAAAGTCTTGGAAGGAAATGGGTAACCGTCATGGCGGTGGTGGCCTTGTTGCCCCTCTTTACACGGCCATGCTTGCTGAGAGCGATGTAGAAGCCCTTGTAAACAAAAGACTCATAGGCGTTGTAGTTGTTGGGAAGCAAAGTCTCCCTAAACTTGCACTCATCTCCAAAGGACTTCTAAAGTGTAAAAACATATAGATATAAGTATAACACCACAAAATGGGTCACATCAATGCTTAATGAAAAACATCACAAAAGGGCATCGAATGGGCATATATATATATATATATATAAACAGCGCTGTATATTAGTGATTATATAATGTTATAATTATATATACACTACTATATAGTACATACAAGTATACACTACTATATATATTATACGCGCATAACAAATACGTACCTTGCCATATAACCTTCCTTTGCTGTTCATTGCGACAAACTGTTGACTCGTGACACCAAAAAGAGTTATTACACCTCTCTCCACGGTGGAGATTTCAATGAGACCTGGGGAGAACACAGGAGATGCTGTTTGACTATTGGACATGTGATTGGTCAGTGCAGTAATGAGGGGTGTAACCTTGAAGGTGCGCTGTGACAATGATGCACATGGCTTTAGAAAAGTGCTTACACTCTGATCGTCACAAGCGGACGCTCTGAGTGCTACAGCCGGACACGGGATAAAAATAAGCGAGCGTCTAAACTGAGTCCAAGCATGCATGTTATGTTTTTTGGCGAGGGAGGATATTTCGCACTGCACGGATGTGCGGCTCCCAGTACAGTTTTTGCTTTGGGGAACTTTCATCCGTGCCGACATGTCTTATTGAATAACACACAGGTCAGGCGCGTAACTTTTAACAGCGCAGCCTGCGCGTAGGGTTACAAGATGTTTGCTACAGCCCTCAGCCGGATGCAACTCACTGTGTTGGTTCTCATTGTGTACTCCACTTATCCTGCCATCCGGGAGCACCTGCAGGTGAAACCCAATGCCCGCGTTGCAGTAAAGTCGCCGCACTCTTTTGATGCCCTGCAAATAGTCACTCTCCCAATTTACTTCATATTTTGACCCAGTTATCCCGAGATAAGAGCGAGAAAAAAGCGTCTCCCATTTATTTTCCAATAAAGTTGCGTTAGTCCTTCTTGGAATCGGATAAGATGCAATCCCGATGAAACAAGTCCACAGTACAAGAACTGTCAGCAGGGTCCATTGCGTCTTTGACATGCTGTAGTGAAGGCACCTTTTCGCAATGGACATCCAGTTTACCTTCAGGGCACGTGGTCAGCGCTGACTGCCCTATATAACAAACTCCTGTCATTAGTTGTTCATAGGCATGATGGTAAAGGCGTGTGCAGAAGAGACAGTCCAGGGCCCCATAGCCCGGGGTTTGAGCAGCAGAGGCACTTGGCACGTAGCAGCTTAGTTCGGTTTCAATAGCGATGAACATCTTTCGCCGCTCCGCACTTTTCCACAGGCGAAGCTGGCCGAAGAGGGATGACAGTCACCTCAACGTGAAACCAGCTCACCTTGCCCCCCAACACTCACATTCCAACATGACATCACCGTGACTTCAGCAGTCCACGAGGAGGAGGAGAGTCCCGGGACCCCAGCACAGCACCGGCACTTCGCAAGTGATGCGCTGACGCACCTCTTCTGTGCGCGTGCTACGCACAAAGATCCTGCCACACTTTTCAGAATAAAAACATGGCATCAAATGTTTGGCATATCTAAACACCGGTGAATTGACCAGCGCCTTCTTCGTGACATTCAGAATAATCACGTTACATGGCGTTCATTAGAGGACAACAGCCTATAAGTAAGCATCACTAAACACCCAAGTCCCTCTATGCACTCTTGATAAAATAGTGGATATTTTGCTCAACAGATTTTATGAATATTATGAATCACACAGTTCTCTCAAGCAGCAGAATTAATAACAGTATTTTTGTATGATGATGATATTTTTGTTGGACATAATATCACGTTAATTTTCTCCTACCATTTTGGTAATGTGACTGGATTACATTACTTTTCGAAGTATAGTGTACAATACGAGTTACAACTCATGTTACATGCAGAATTTGTCTGACGAAGGGCCTCAGCCCGAAACGTAACTATTTTGTGTGGTATGTAAATAAATTACACTGTTTTTGGGAGCTACATAGCTGTGCGGATTATTTTTCACTGTTTTCTACATGCAGAATTTGTGCCATCTCTGACCAACGGAGGGTTTCAGAATACCAGTAAAGGTAACACTAGTAATACTAACAACACAACAATCTCTGGAATGATGACAAATATAAAGGAAAAAATATTAAAAATCTAAATATTGTTTCTTTTGAACAGAGAACAGTTGTCACAAGATCCTTCACATCTACTCAACTTTTTTCCAAAATGTATTATAGTATCGCTTTGTAATGTAACATTTAGCTGTGCTAAATTATTCTTCTTACCTTCAAATTACAGTTGAAACAAATTTCCGTCATAAATAGTATTACTTTTAATCTATAAACAGGAAAAGACGATTAAGCTACTGAATGTGTTCGACTTTACTTGGCATTCAGCAATCGGGATGGATGGATACTGTGTCCAGGTCCCAATTTGGGACAGTGGTCATATGTCCTGGCAGCCTGTCGCCTTATTTAGGTTGGACGTGTAAAAACTGTTACAAGAGAGCAAGCAGCAGTGACAGAAAATGTAACACATTATTTTGCTCTACTTTCTTTAATTCACAACATGTATTTAAGCTTAATGTAAGTCTATCAGGTTTAGTGAGTATGAGTGTTTTCTCTGTCGTGGTGGTGCAAACCCACTGTGACTCAAGAGAGATCTACGCATCACATCCCACCCCTCTGCTGCCAGGGAACACCGCTTAGCAACAAAGACCTTTGGATATAAACACTGATGGAGGAAGCAAAACACATACAAGAGGATTTTACTTTGTATCTTTGATTTTCAATCATTGCTCTGTCATTATTTTAAAGAACCTGGCTGCATGATTGACTACAAGTGACTTTCAGTCATTATTGTTATTTTCACTTCATCAAAGTAAAAACACATGCTAAAAGTCGTTTATAACAAAGTCAGTAATAATATTTTATCATAATGTCAAAATCTAAATGAAAAGCAGGTTTCATCATCACCGAATGTATTTTAGATTTTTCTTTCTCATTTTTTACTCATCACGCTTCTATTTACAATACTTGCACCACACTTGCTAAATTTTAGAGGAATATAAATGTTGTCCAGGCTGCACTGGAATATAAGTCACAGGTTTACATGTTGTAATGTAACACTAAATCCACAGCTAATGGGGCAAAACAAAGCCAAAAGAAGAGTGTTGGACACATATAATTTAATTGGTTTTATATGCACTTTGCAACCCATCCCTAAGACAGAAAATAACAAGTCCATAAACTCTGCCCTGAAAATTGCCCTAATCCCTGCAGTTCCTTGTGTCTCTATCTGCTGTTCACGTGAACACATTGAGGCAGGATTGTTCAGATATATGACTCAAATCCAAAATCCAAAACCCTTCCTGCACCTGCAGGTGATGCTCTAACAAAGATTTTTTTTTCAAATAAATAATTTTTAGTGGGCGACTAGTTAGTTACAGATTTATTGCCTGAAATAACTGGACACAATGACCGAATGGAGAATTAATGAGACCCAGAAGCAGCCTTGCTTACGTGGCTAATCAGGAGTGTGGTGAAGCAGACCAAGCCAACCAATAGTCTGAATGGACAAAATGCTGAAATATTGACAAAGGGGTGTCTAAATCAATGGACACTGAGCATCCCCAGTGACATAGTGCTGAGCTGTGATGAATACTGCTACAACAACCATTACACTGTAAAAATTTAACATCTTGTAAGTGTTTGAAGAGCATTACAGATTCCATGATATTCTTAGAGAAAGACATCAAACAACAAAAAGCTACATCAAAGACATCAAACAACAAAAGTGGTATTTTGTTGAGGAATATCATCTTAAATATATAAAATTATCTAGACAGCATAATAACAACCTTCCTATTTACATATATTATTATCTTCATGTCAATAAATCAACATGTGACAAAGTAACCTAATGCAAAAGTGTGTCAGCTTTTCAAGTACAGTTTTACTAATGATCGTATAAACAACAGCTGCTGACTCTGAGCTAAAAACAGGGCATTTCCCACGAATGACATCAGAGACCGGGCATACAACAGAAGTTACTACAATATCAGTCCATATAATACACAAATATAGACTGTACATTTGATATTTCCCTCAAGTTGCCCCTTGGCATTTAAGGTATGTGTTAGTCATATTTCACAGACGAATGCTTTAGTGACAAGCGTGTGCAAAGTTGACAAACTTTATGTGAGTGACCTTATGTGGCCATCGATTAGAAAGAGTAGGACCTCAGTTTGGTTACTGGGGCTTGTAAAGCGCCACTCTGCAAACTTCTCTTTTGCTGATTCACCAAATGCATTATTCAGCAGTTCAAACTGCTTGAGGGTTGCCCATGTTATTTGCTCTGGATCACAGAAGATAGCGGTAATGTATAAACATACTTAAATGCATTTACTTCCACCAAATGAATAAACAACATAGAAGCCTCAGATTGGCTTTCAAGGGTATGACTTCTGCACCTTGCACAGAAAGATGTTTCTGCTGCTAATTTGGGCGCAGAGTGACTAAGGGGAAAACCAGCAGAGCAAGGCAAAGGTGACTTCTACTGTGCTCTAACATAGCTCATTACACACGGCCTTAGCCTTCTTTGTTCCTATACAAAAACTAGTCAAGCATCAAAACAAGACCATAAGCAAAAACCCAATACTTGTGTGAAATGTACAGTATAACCTGCCCATAAACCCAAAATACAAATCAAGGTTAAATTAGGCACGGGAGGTTTATTTGTATAGCACAGTTCATACGTAAGGCAACACAAAGTGGATTTTTATGCATGCATTTTGATTCACCTATCCTTGGACACTTCCCCAATTATTATAAAATTGTTGTGCTTGGGTTGAGAGTTGCCCTGCCTCATACTTTTCCCATCTTCACATTGGAGACCCCGACGTGATTGACTTTTCAAAACCACCATGTCAAACAACAACGCAAGTGTTCCTCCTGCTGCGCCCGTACCGGCTTTTGTCAACGTAGCTCCTCCAGGTGGTATCCAGATACGACAAGATAAGAATTCCTTTATTCGTCCCACAGTGGGGAAATTTAAAAGTTGCAGCGCACGGACAGGACAGTAGTAAGAGCACACAGGAAGCACACAAAATATACAAAATAATTAATAGCTATGTTTCTTAACTAGTTGTAAATGCTGTAAATGCTTCAATACCAGTCTTTCGGGAAAAAAAAAATATACATGCGTAGTAGTGCGGAGTTACGTATATACTGTACATACAGGGCAGTAGATAAGTAAGGTGACATTGTTCAGTGGACATTCTGAAGTTGCAGTATTGCACATGATTTTAGTATTTACTTATGTACAGATGAATGACATTTACAGGCTGAGCAGTTGTCATTGTACAGTCTAACAGCAGCAGGAATCAAAGACCTACAGAGTCATAGAAGGTCTTCAGGAGTGGGCCCTGCACCCTAAAGACCTGAGCCTCCTAAGCAGGTAGAGTCGGCTCTGGCCCTTCTTGAAGAGTGTTATGAGTCCAGTCCAGTTTGTGGTTCAGATGAAGGCAAGGCAAGGCAAGTTTATTTGTATAGCACAATTCATACACAAGGCAACTCAAAGTGCTGAACAGGATAGCATTAAAATCATAAATAATCACAGAACATTAAAAAGAAAGATAAAAACATAAAATCCCTCAGTTGTATGCACAGCTAAACAGCACAGTTTTTAACCTGGTTTTAAACATTGTCAGAGAGGAGGCCTGTCTCACATCTTCAGGAAGATTGTTCCAGATTTTAGCAGCATGAATCTGAAAAGCAGCCTCCCCATGTTTAGTCCTGACTAACAGGAGTCCAGTCCCTGTGCTCCTCAGAGTCCGGGCTGGTTCATATGGGACTAACATGTCACTAATATATTTTGGTGCGAGGCCATGGAGAGACTTGTACACAAGCAGAGCTGTTTTAAAGTCTATTCTCTGGGCCACAGGAAGCCAGTGCAGAGACCTGAGGACCGGACTAATATGGTCGTACTTCCTGGTTCTAGTCAGGACTCAGGCTGCTGCATTTAGATTGTACTGCAGCTGTTTTACAGCCTGTTTGGAGAGACCTGTGAGCAGGCCATTGCAGTAGTCTAACCTACTGGAGACAAATGCATGGATAAGAATCTCCAAGTCTGCTTTAGACACTATGTTTTTGATCCTGGCAATGTGTTTTAGATGGTAAAAAGCTGCTGATGTTACTGATTTGATGTGGCTATTAAAATTTAAGTCTGAGTCCAGTATTACCCCTAGATTTCTGACCTTGTTTGAAGGTTTTAGGGAGAGAGACTGTAGATGACAGATGACGCTCTCTCTTTGTTTCTGGGGACCAAAGACAATCATTTCAGTTTTGTCTGTGTTTAGCTGAAGGAAGTTGTTTTGCATCCACTCACTGATCTGTTGGATACAGTGAAGGAGTGAGTCCACTGGTCCATGTTCTCCTGCAGTCAGTGAGACATAGATCTGAGTGTCGTCTGCATAGTTGTGATAGGACACTTTGTTTCTGCGTATTAACTGACCTAACGGCAGCATGTAGAGATTGAACAGAAGAGGTCCCAGGATCGACCCCTGTGGTACTCCACAGGTCAGGGCCATATGATCTGAGACAGTTTCCAATCTCCACAAAGTACTTCCTGTCTTCAAGGTAAGACCTAAACCAACTTAGGGCGGTGCTAGCGACGCCAACCCAGTCCTCTAGTCTCTGTAAGAGGATCTCATGGTCGACGGTGTCAAAGGCAGCACTCAGATCTAACAGGATTAGGATTGAGACTTTGCCTGCGTCAGTGTTCAGCCGGATATCGTTTGTAACCTTGACGAGAGCAGTCTCAGTGCTGTGGTGGGGTCTAAAGCCGGACTGAAACATATCAAATGAGTTGTTGATTATAAGAAATCTATTTAGCTGTTGGTAGACAACTTTTTCAAGGACTTTCCCCATAAATGGCAGATTTGAGATGGGACGATAGTTGTTAAGTACCGTAGAATCCAGACTGCTCTTTTTTAGCAGGGGCCTGATGACTGCAGTTTTATACTTATGGGGTTAGAGGAGGGACGGGTGGATTTTGTGGGTGAATTTGAGTTGGACGCCCTAGGTGGCTTTGGAGGTACGTATGGGGAGTAGTTTTGAATGTTAGATAGGACTCTTGATCTGGCTACAGTGGGTGTGAGAGGAAGAGTCTTCATCGCCGATCTTATCATGCCTGCAGAGTGTTCCGGTAATTCCAGTAGTGAAGGCGGGGATAGAAAACAAAGGAAAAGGTCGTCCTCCTTTTCCCTAGATGGAGTGGAGGTAGCGGGGGAGACCCAAGCCGGGTCCATGGAAGGTGATGAGGGAGTCTTTGGTGGAGACAGAGGTGGTTGAGGAACCCCCAGTACAGGCCTGACTGTAGCCTGGAGCAATGGGGGAAGCTTCACGGGAGCTGTAGGTGGGGAAGGTGCTGCTGAAGATGATGGAGCAGCCACTGCTGCTGCTGTATGCACTGCTGCTGGTGGTGCTGTATATGCTGATGGCGCTGATGAAGATGTGGCAGCTGCTGATGATGCTGGTGGTGGAGGCGTTGAGCTCTTTCGGAGCCGTGGAGGTGTTGAGTTCTTTTGGAACCTTGGAGGTGTTGAGTTCTTCTTGAATCGTGGAGGTGTGGAGTTCTTTTGAGTTCTTTTGAGATGAACACCCAGGTATTTGTAAAGCCGCGTTCAGACCGGATCATGCGTTGCGGCGACTTTCAATGCAAAGTCAATGGTGACGTGCGTTCAAGCTGCATGTGCGTCTCGGGATGCATGCACGGACTGCGCGGTAGAGACGCACGGACTAGGCGCAGGAGTGGAAAATCAACGCACGCGGGAGATAAATATTGCTGGACATGGAGAAAAAAGGTGGCGGTGATGTGCAGGGCAGACCCCACGTTTCTTTTCACTTACATATTTCTGCGACAGCTCCCAGTGCCCGTGCGTACTTCCTTGGCCAGTTCTCCTCTCTCCTCCATAACTATCGTGCTCTAGCCGCTGGGTCAGACAGGCTAATCAGCAGCAGTTTGTGCGTGCTCTGCTCCCCACCCATCCGCACGCTGTTTTGCGCCAGTTTCATGAAGACACCCCTGAGACAGCCGTTGCAGTGGCGGCCTGCCGTCAGCATGAGGATGGTCTTCTTTACTAACAGAAGGTTTGGAGCGAAGGCAAAGCAGTGTCGTAAACCTGCAGTTTCCGGGCTCAGGGTAATGCCAGAGCCGGTGCCCAATAGCGGCTATGGGCGCAGGCCAGGACTCTAAGCTGCTGTTCATCACTGACTCCTTGTCAGGCCGCCGGCTAATGGTCGACTAGGGTGGACAGCGCAGCATTCTGCCAGCGCGACCGGCGGACACCCTGGCTGACGGACAAGGACCCCGCATGGACGCCGCCAACAAAACACACTTCTACTATGTGTGTAGAAGCGTGTTTCAGTGGGCGGATTTCAGTAATACCCTATCCAGTTATTATAATAGATCCACTTTATTGTACAATAACTTTATTGTAGGGCTGTCAAATGATTAAAATGTTTAATCGAGTTTATTACAGCGTAAAATTAATTAATCAATTAATCGCAACTGTTGGCAAAATCATGCCATATTTTTCTGTAAATGGTTGTTTGAAAAGATAAATGACAACTTAGTGTACATATGCACTGTATTTGTTTATTTTAACAACAATAATGGTATTAACATAAACGACAATATTATCGTAACGACAATAATACAGTTTTATTGTATACGTATGGTTTTTTGTTTTCGTTTAATCTATGAGCCAGTTTTTTCTGTGTTCTAAATAAAGAATTAATTGCATTGAATTATTATTATTAATTATTATTACATCCTGTCTTTCTGTCACAGACCAAAACTATTGTTTGTTAATAACAAACATTTTTTTTAAATGCAATTAATGAAAACATTTAATTAACTTGCGTTAACGCGATCATTTTGACAGCCCTACTTTATTGATCTCACACTGGAGAAATGTACATGTCACATTTGGCATGGATAGGATAGATAGATAGATAGCTCTGGGTAGACAGGTCACAGCAGCAGAGGTGGTGTAGCCACTGGGTGGAGCAGAATGAGTCACAGCAACAGAGGTGGAGTAGCCTCCGGGTGGATTAGGACAGGTCACAAGGTGGAGCTGCTTGGTTCGGACCATATTCTCTGCTGTAGTCCGAAGTAAAAAGCTAAATAATTCATTGCTTTATTAGCAATTTTCAAAAAGTTAGCATTCCTCCAGTGGATTTTTGTCTGATCCGCTTGGTTCGGACCATGACTCCTCTCCGCTCCTCTGGACCAATGTAAAACCATCAACACTGTACTGCAGCAACATCTCAGGTAGAAAAAAGCAATAAAAATTAAAATTGTAAAGCACAACAACTGTTTCAGAGCTACTTAGGACTTGCTGCCGTTTTCCAGCGCATTCAGAAGTAAACAATCACTCAAAAAAATCACTCAGATTGTGCAAAAGACAAAGTGTGCAAACACATACAGTACTTGGCGAGCACCACCATCTTCTCCAAGGTAAACCTGGTGCACAGTTACCACCAGGTGCCTTGCCTCCACCTCCTCAGATCTGCCTCCCCCTCACGTTTCACCCTCCACTTGTGTGCTAATCAGCTGGGAGGTATAAAGGGCCTGGCATCAGACCAATCGTTCTCTCTCCCACTTCGACCTGGAACCTGCAGCTGCAGCAGGGAGTGATCCCGGACAAGCCCCACGTATTACGAGCCACAAGGTGTTAAAGTCTAGGGAGTGTGGCTCAGTAACAGAAATAAACGGACCTGATCAGTAACAAAGCGCAACAGCTGAGGTCCACCTTGCGCACCTCCCTTGGCTGTTTGAGTGTCTTAAAGAGCAAAGCCTCATCATCAACCCAGCCAAATTCGTTGTCCATCACTTTCCTTGGCCACCACGTCACTCACATGGAGTTGTGCCACTCCCCACTAAAATGGAGGCGATCATCAAGTTCCCTAACGCACTGAAACCCTGCAGGAGTTCTTGGGGAATGTGAATTTCTATAACTGGCATCTCCCGCGGTGCTCACCTCATGTGGTAGCTGTATGAAGCTCTATGGGGTACAGAACAAACGAACAGTGTGGACTGGTCCGCAGAGATCGCACATCAGTCTCCCACAGCCCCTCACATTCCTCACAACAGACGCCTCGGATTACCTGGTTGGGGCTGTGAGTGAGCCGTGGGTGTAAGTAAGTAAGTAAGTAAGTAAGTTTTTATTTATATACCGCCTTTTCACTGCAGATCTGAGTCTCAAAGCGGTTTACAATTGTTAATTTTGGGCATTTGTCTCTCACTCCACACAGAGATGGGAGGGGCCAGTACAGGAGGCACATGCCAGAACTATTGGACATATTTTTAGTGGTAGGGGAAACCGGAGTACCCGGAGGAAACCTACGCAGACACGGGGAGAACATGCAAACTCCACTCAGAAAGGCCCTGGATTTGAACCCAGGACCTTCTTGCTGAGAGGCGAGAGTGCTATCCACTCAACCACCATGCCGCCGGGTGGGCGGAGCTTGGCAGCCGTTGGCCTTTTGGAGCAAGAAGCTCTGCAACAACAAGAGAAAATACAGGACTTTCGACAGGGAGCTCCTGGATCTTTACCTTGCCACTCGTCATGTCTATTTTTTGTTAGAGGGGTGGCAGTTCACAGCGTGAGTTGACCAGAAGCCTCTGACATTTGCCATGGCCAAGTTGATGGAGCCGTGGTCAGGTCGGCCGGTCAGGTGGCCGGTCAATTGTGTGCAATCTCAGAGTACTCCACCGTCAATCAACATATGCCTGGGAAAGACAATGTAGTCGCGAACTTCCTTTAAAGGGCAGAGGCAGGGGTCGTTCACATGGGCCTGGATTATGCAGAAATGGCAGAAGACCAAGTCGTGGACCCTGAGGTCCAAAGTTACCGGACGGCCCCCACAGCTCTCCGCATGCAAGAGGTGGTGTTTGATGCTGCCAATTCTATGCGGCTCAGCAACGTCTCAATGGGTGAACCTTGCCCATTGGTGCCTGTGGCCTGGGGGCGCAGTGTTTTCGACACCATCCACATCCTTTCTCACCTAGGGGTGAAGGCCTCTACCAAGCTGGTGAGAGCCAAGTTTGTCTGGCCTGATCTTTGCAGAGCCATCAGAGCTTGGGTTCCCCCCATGTTTGGCATGCCAGCATGCCAAGGTCCCACGTCACAAAAAGGCTACGTTAATATGGACCTGGTGGCCCTATCCTACCAAGCCTTCAACGACGTCAGCTGAGGTGGCCTGGCGTTTATAGCATCTTGGGTGAGCCATTTTGGCATGACGTCCTACCTCTCCTCAGGTCGAGGTCTGCAGTTTTCCTCAGAGCTTTGGACTGTAATTTCCGCATGCCTGGGGGTGAAGGTCCACCGGACCACAGCATACAACACACAAAGCAATTGGCTGTGCATGTCTTTCCATAGGGACATGAAAGCTGCTCTCAAAACCAGTCTGACGGGCAGTGACTGGATTGATCACCTCCCGTGGGCTATACTGGGTCTTTGAGTTGAGTTGAGTGTTTATATATTTTGAGATTATGGACATCAAATCATCGATTTACAGATACTTGTTACAATTTTGACATCCTTCAAACTCGCAAAGGAGTGGGAGGAAGAAAAAAATCGTATAAGTTCCCACCCCTGTGCACATCACACTTACACCCGTGTGTCGGGAGCCAGTCTTTGGTCTGCACCTAAAGATGATCTGCAGGCATCATCCGCAGAGTGTATGATGTATGGCCAGCCTCTGCGTGTCCCAGGGGAGTTAGGATTTGTGGTTTTTAGAGCTTTGTGGTCGGTGATTTCCCAAAAGCCTGTGTCACGGAGTGTAGCAGAGGCTTTTGCCCCCATACCCATGTCTCGCCACAGCCAGCCCCAGTCCTACGTGCCCAAGGCATTGCTAACTGCCAGTAAATCTTCATGACGGCCATCGGATCCACTGCGGGCCCTTTATGATGGACCTTTCTGTGTCCTGGAGGCAGAATCTAAAAACTCTGTGGTAGACATGAAAGGTGGGTCGGAGCGGGTGGCGATAGACTGCCTTAAAGCTACTCACATGGACCTCGGTGAACCGCTTCAACTGGCCTAGACCCCGCAGTGAGGGCACCCTCCTGAGGTCGCCCCTAGCACCTCAGTTGCCCCGTCTCTTGCTCCGGCCCTGTCCCGTGTTCCAACTCTGGTGCCCCTTAAATTCGAACCTCCACCTGTTAGGCATAGCTGTGGCCGCCTGGTCTGCCCCAAAACGTTGTCCTTTGTTTGTCTTATTTTCAATGCAGCACCACTATGTTTACACTTTTTTACACTGAAAATGTTGGTACTTGTTTATATTGGTAATTGCATGTATTGCATTCTTGGGGACCTCTCGGGGGCCCATGTGGTGACCCATAAATGTTGTACCAAAGTTGAGATTTATTCCACTAGGGGAAAGTACAGTTCTGTTGGTTTTGTGAGGTATCCTGTTCTGAGTTCATTACTGTGTTGTATGTGTAACCGGTGGGTTGTTTGTCCCTAATGAGCCGCCGTAGAGGGAATTCCCCCCAAGCCGGTAGTAGACTTCCGCATTCCATTACATTAGCACTCATATATAAACACACAGCAGACACCCGTACTGACGCTACATCCCTGTGCCACTTGCGCCAATCGTGGTCCCTGGGTTGGGTATTCCTCTCACTGCTGAAGGCCTGGTAGGTGTGTTTGTGCTCCTCATTTTTAGTGGAATTCTCAGTTCTCCTTTTTGTGTTTTAGACGCTGGCTCAGACTGCTGCGTGTGTAAAGGAGGCGGCCTGCTATGCTCTTGTGTAGTCATACTAGGTAATGCCAGTTTACAAGTAGAGGAGGAATATTAATTACATGTGTTAACTCTTTCTTGTTCTTATAGGCGCTGAGTGCCTTGCAGTTTTTATTTGGGTCTAATTGGCATTTAATTTTGTTTTTGTTTTTTCTTTATTTAATTTACTTATTTACTATTTACTGTGTTTGTTTGGTGCTTAGTTCATTTTAATATATTGAACCCTGTGATTGGGTACTTGTGCTCATTGTGTCTTTTTCTGCTCAGGGTCTGGTCCTGTCGTGGCTTCTCATGGTGGGGGATTTGGTGATAGTTACCCACTGCTGCACCATCACTCCTTTTGAATGCCGTAGTATTTTGCACCTCCCTTCACCACTTGTACATTTTCAGTTTGCCTCTTTTCTTGATTTGGTGTGTGTGTGTATGAATGTGTGGCACGGAGCGTAGTGAGTGCTCTATTCCAGCCCCTTAGTCCTCCATCGTGTACGGCCGCTACTGGCCAGCTCTGAGTGTTGCTTTCTTTCTTTCTGGTTAGCATTGGAGCACATATTTTATAATTGATATTTTTAATGATTACATTTAATACAATGAAATAAGAACATATATTTTTCTATTTCTTAGGTCTCATTTTCCAAATAAATTGCTCGAAATTGTATAATTTGTGTCTGGTCAATTACTTGTTGCATCCCACCATTATACCAGGGCCCTGCGGTCACAATTGGCGTTGTCTGGCAGTGTGGCTGGGATGCAATGGTGATTGTACTGACTTGGGCGTTTATTCTGTATGTTTTTTTTTGGTTTTTTTTGTGCTTGTCCAATTAGACCCAAATAGAACTGCATTGGTCATCGAGGAAGCCAGCTGGACCTCCACAACGGCAACGGCTCATACCGTTCTCCTGTACTTTCCTCACCCCACAACAATCATGGCCACTGAACAAGAGCTCAGAGACTTGGTCCAGCAGCTCCAGTCTGAAAATGAACGGCTGCTAGCCGCTTCCAATATGAACTCTGGAGCAGCTGCCCCGAGTTGCTCCAATGACTGTCCAGCCCCCCTATCTAATGTCCATTCCAGCAATGGGGAGTCTATGGAACGCCTGCTGTATATTCCCAGAGAACGCAAGTGCCCGCTCTTCAGGGGGACTTCTGGGATACCCATAGAGAACTGGATAGAAGAAATGAGGGCCACACTGAGGACTAGACGACTGACCACTGTAGATCAAGCATATTTTGTATTTGACCATTTGGAGGGTGAGGCTAAAGATGAGATCAGGTACAGAACAAGAACAGAGAGGGAAGATCCAGAAAGAATTATGTCTATTCTGCGGGAGTTGTATGGCTGTGTATGTTCCTATGTGTCTTTGCAAGAATGTTTTTTTTCCAGAAAGCAACAGGAAGGAGAATCACTGCATGAGTTTTCGCATGCCTTATGTTGTCTTATGGAGAAAGTTGAGCGTTGTGCTGTTTGTTGAGCACGTCCTAGATCCTAACCTGCGCAGGGAACTAAAAAGGTTAGTGAGGGATAAGCCTGAGTGCACGCTGTTAGAGGTTAGAGCTGAGGCCATAAGGTGGGAACGGGAGGGTAGACCAGATGAGCCACGGGGTAGGAGCTTTTCAGTCCCATCCTTCAGCGCTGTTCATTATTCCAGGGCCCGCCCACCTAGCCTAACGAGAAACTCGGAGTTCACAGAGCTGCGACAGCTTTTAGAAAAGCAACAGGAACAATTAAATCAACTGACCCAGGGATTGTTGGCATTGCAGACAGCCCCCCGACCTCCAGTCAGGCGACCTAACACCCTACTGTGCCTCCGCTGTCAAAACCCCGGCCATTTTGCTTGGGAGTGTGATAATGAGCGGTTCATTCCACAGGCTCGGCCTCAGCATGTGGCCGCTACCTCTGCTCTTCAGGAGGCGGGAAACTTCAACTCTCTGGTGTAAGGAGCCAAACATCAGAAGGGGAAGGTAACGGCTCACAGATACAAAGGCCAGGCCCACATCGCCCAATTGACCGCCTTATAGCAGTATGTCCGGAGGTAACGGTTAGCTTAGGGGGAGTAACTGCTAAGCTGCTCCTAGACACTGCCTCAATGGTTACCACCTTGCCAGAGAGTTTCTTTAGGCAGAACTCTAAAGGCACACCTAAATCCTGTAACTGGCTGGAGCTGACTGCAGCTAATGGCTTTGACATCCCTTATGTAGGCTTTATCAGAATCAGAATCAGAATCAGAATCATTTTTATTGCCAACGTAAGTAACGGGAGGTCACAGACTTGGAAATTGCTTTGGCTCAGTGCAACAGTCAAAAAGAGATAATAAAAATAAGAATAAAAAACACTTCTAAAGAATAAATTTAAATTTAAAATAGAGTTACAGTTACTATTTACAATATACAAGTGCACATGGTGCACACAATGTAAGGTGACAGCAGTACAGTGAAGTAAAGTGACGTATGATGGGCAGTAAAGTGACTTTATAAAGGGCGGGGGGACAGGTTAAGAAGTGTTCAAGAGTCCAACAGCAGAGGGGAAGAAACTGTTCTTGTGGCGGGAGGTTCTAGTCCTGATGGACCGCAGCCTCCTGCCTGAGGGGAGTGGTTGGAATAGTCCATGTGCAGGGTGAGAGGGGTCGGCTGTGATACGACCAGCCCGGCCTCGAGCTCGGGCGACGTACAGGTCCTGCAGCGATGGAAGGCTGCGGCCGATCACTTCCTCTGCAGAGCGCACAATGCGCTGTAGTCTCTGTTTGTCCCTGACTGTGGCTCCAGCGAACCACACGGTGATGGAGGAGGTGAGGATGGACTCGATGATGGCCGTGTAGAACTGCACCAACATCTGTGCAGGCAGCTTGGCTTTCCTGAGCTGCCGCAGGAAGTACATCCTCTGCTGGGCCTTCTTGATGAGGGAGCTGATGGTCGGCTCCCACTTGAGGTCCTGGGTGATGGTGGTGCCCAGGAAACGGAAGGACTCCACAGAGGTGATGGGGGAGTCCATCACGGAGGGTGGGGGCGGGGGGACAGTGCTCTTCCTGAAGTCCACAATCATCTCCACTGTCTTATTGAGATGGACGTGACTGTATTTGGCCAGGTTGTACCGAACCGGGGTATTCTGGTTGTTAAGGACCCCCCAGGGACAGGTGAGGTAAGAGGAGTGTTGGGAATGAACATAATAAAAAAATGTTATCAAGTGTTGTTCAGTGAGCATGGCCCTAACCTCTTTGACCTCCCTGAAGTACAGCAGGCATCTGTAGCGTTGCAGCAGGCCTTGTATCATTGCTACTACACTGAGACCACAGATTTGCCACCTACGAGCAGTGTGGCTCGAGTGCGAGGGAGGCGTCCTGTCATTATTCCTGGGGGCTCAATGAAATTGATTGCTGCCACATGCTCTGCTCACTTTAGTCAGTCTACAGGTACAGTCTCCTCCTCCATCGCTCGCTGTCCCACCTTGAGAAACCCGG